TAAAATAAAAATAAAATGTTCTACTTTATAATTTTATTAAAAAGCCTATTTCTTTAAACATGTTTCTTAATTTATTCAAAAACATCTAATTAATTTATTTCAGAATGTTGGAAACAGGCATTCTAATCTTCTGAAGGGTAATAATTACAAAGGAAGTCTGTATAAAGCATATCAAATGTTAGTTTTTTTATAAGATTATTTCAGATACCCAAAACATTTCAATGATGTTAAAATAAACTTTATTTCCATCTCAGAATTCCTAATTGTTAAACAAAAACTTTCATATTAACCAACTTTAATTAAAAAGCTAAATTACAATTGTTGTTTGTAAAAAAGTGTGTATTTTCTTCGATGTGCAATATTTTCATAAGAACTTGTTCGTAGTATATTTTATAATTGTGGGATTATTTAATCCTTCGAGGAGAAAAAAGTAGTACTTAGCCTACTTTTATAAAATAATTTTGTATGTATATGTGTATAAAGAGATCTCTTTTGGTAGAGTAAATCATGGTTTGCTTTAATAACAAAAATTAAATGGTTAAGTGAAAGTGGATCAAAACTGAAGGTATTAAAAAAAGAAATTTTCTTTTTAAGCTCTTATTCTCATGAATTTAAGGGAATGTTAATATAAAACAGATCATTCTATTGGTTATATCAACTTTCACAGTAAAAAAAAATTCAATACACCTTTATGGAGTTATTTAGTTACAAGATATTACTAATTTTTTACTTCTTATATGGAAACACTCAATTAGATAAATAAGGAAAAATAACAAAAAAATGCAATTTTTCTGTGTACATTCAAAGGAATTATATTGTAATAATTTCAAATCCCAATCTCAAAAACTGTATTAATATATATGTATTATCTTATTAAAATATTGGAAACATACATGCAAAGCATACTAAATATAAATTTATTTACATCCTTCCCTGTACCTGAATGGAATATAATATTAATTGGAAATGGGCACTTGTAAACTTCCGATTCCCGGACAGTTGTATCCAATTCGTTTTGGTCTCCCCAGATGTTTATGAGGGTTATTATTTATTCTGTTGTCTAACGCGAGCAATCCAAAACAGCAGCCATCTTGAATAATGGAGTCTCTGGTGCAATGCATCATGGGAGAATTAGAAAACATTCTCCTTTTTTACCCCCAAAGTTCCTAGTCGAAAGAGGGTACGAAAAATATACCTGCATTTCAAGCCGGCAACTTGCCGGGTCGTCGTGTAAACGAGTACAAAGCGGATTCGTTCCGGCATATTGCCGGCAATTTTCGTCCATGTAAACGGGGCCAGTCACACCAAACTACAGGAAAGCACAACTTGCTTCTCGATTCACAAAGAAAATTTTAAAATAAAAAACTTTCTCAGTTAAGAAAGTCCCTTCACGAAAATCCATGAAATAATCGATTTTTCAATTTTGATTGAAACATAAAATACCATTCTTTTTCTTTCTAATGCAGTTTAAGTTTTTGCTCTAGCTTAATTAGAAGTATTTTTAATATTTTTTTTAAAAAGTTGTTTACATCTGTCAAACCCCAAAACCGCTGATTGCCACGCCCTCTCAAATCAAAACAAAAGACACATGCTACTTTTCAGCCTTATCAAATGGTTTAAATTGATTAAAAGAATTTATTTTGATCAGCAGCTTATTCAGGAAAGAAGTGAAGTGAATAGTTATAGAAGTTTGTTTACTTACAGCCTATTTTTTACCTCCTTAAATGCAACGGATTTTCGCGATCGTTTTCAATAGTGTTTTCCATCAAAAACATTAATAAAACGTTTACAAAACGTTTTTTAAACTCTGTTAAGTAATAAAAGGTTTAAAAAACGAAAGAGTTTGGAAAGAAATGTACAACATTATAAACTTTTATGGATTTAAATGTTGATAAGTCAGACAATTTCAACATAAATAAATCAGCTTTAAAATCTAAGTTAGGTAAGTTTAATAAATAGTATGTTTTTTTTCTAGATTCATTTGAATGTTTCTGTGAAATTCCTGTCATTATACTGTTCTTTTGTGCTTTGAAACAACATTAATTACATAAAATTAATGTAAAAACCAAGGTATTCACATAAATTTTGGTCACCAAATCTAGGGTTTGGCTACAAAATTGTTAATATGTTGTAACTTTTGTGGTCTTATTCAAACATTTCTTAATACCAGGTTTTCTAAAACAGTAGTTAATCAAAAAGGGTACAAAATTATATGAAGTGGACACAATAGAATTTCATATGCTATGAGGTCTATTTAAAAAGTAGCAGTTGCAAAAATATTTTGCGGAGTTATGCATTTGTCACTTACACCATAGTGGTTTTGTGATTACATGCATACATTAAATAATGTGACAGAGAAAGTAACCAAAGTGTCTATGGCTTTAGCTGCTGCCGAAACAATATTTAATAATGGATAACCAAATGTACCAGTGGCTGTCAATGGTACCTGGCTAAAAATAAGCTATATATTTCTAAATGGTGTTGTTACGGCAGTTAGTTTGGACACTGGGAAAGTTGTTGATGCTAAAATATTATCGCAGAAATGTTTGTGTAATTTTAACAGTGATGTACATAGCAATGAGTGTTCGGCAAGTTACATTGAAAATAGTAGGGGAATGGAAGTTGAAGAGGTGCACTTTTTTTTTGTATCTCTCATCACTCGCAGACATTACACAATTTACGATATACACAATATTTGGACTATATGGGAACTCTAAAGCATACAAATCAGTTTTAGAATCTAAAGATATGTCAATATTGAACAATTAGAATGTGTTAATCATGTTGAGAAAATGATGGGGACATGACTTAGGGCCTTAAAATTAAAATAAAAAGACAGAAAGCTTAAAGACAAAAAATCTCTAGGATGCCGTAATGGCTTGACAGATGCTGAAATAAATAAATTGCAAAGTTAATATGTTTTGGCTGTTCAAAACAACTCGGGAAAATTTTTCAGCCATAAGGCAAGCTATATGGGCTATAATTTTTGATAAAATGTTCACAGGTTTGAATCTACGACACGGTTTATGCCCCATGGGATGTGACTTGTGGTGTAGATTTAATATGTCCACATACTGAAAGGTTAGACATACAAGCATAAACACGACTTACCTATTGTAATTAGGAATTATATAAACAAAGTATTTAGAGGTCACTAATCTTGAACATTTATCTGGATGCTTGCTTGATAAAACTCAAAATATTAGTGAAAGCGGAAATAATTTTTCGTGTATAATTCCAAAAACTGTATTTGTGCAATTGGGAACTTCAAAAACTATAGTACATGAAGCTATATACTTATATAATCAAAGCTTCATTACCAAATTGAAAGTTTTAGATGTATTAAACATTCAACACCTGAATTTTACCAATGTCGAGCATTGCAAAAAGTAGATCATCCGTGTATTAGGAAAGCAGAATAGTCAGTTTTACAATGAACCAAAGAAGCCAGAATTAAAAACAAACAATTAAAATGTAGGCAAGAAGATGATCTTGCAGATTACACTAGCAATCCAAGTTATAGTTCTGGTATGCATTAGTTAATAGTAAGTTTGTACTTTAAATCACTATTTCTCAAAAGTGTAAATTTCAACACAAAAGGAACATTTTTGAAAAAACTACTTATTTTACAGCCTTGAAACTTTGCACATATGTTAATACTATACAAATAAATATTTTAATGAGAGATTTTGTCAAAAAAATTATTCAAACAATATTTATGGATTAAAATGTACAAGAATTTTCATCGTTTTAAAATGTCTGACGTGTTACTCCACATATGAATTTTTTTAAAAAAAAACTAATCAAAATTTTGAAAAATGCTCCCATTAAAATAATAAAAGCAATACAATGAATACAAAAAAAAATCATGACTGTACAAAAAGCCAATTTTTAAAAAATGTTCCTTAAACTTGGTCATTTTTAACATTACGGAGATAGGGAAAATGCTGCGTGAAGTGACCTCCTTAACTTAAATACTAATTTAAAAGGATTCTAATATAACGTAATTCTATAAGTATTTAAAATAGTCAAAATATTTAAACTTTTAATCCAATACCGAAATTAAACCACATACTTACTCGAACTCCATATTTGAAATAAAACAATGAATTCATTAATTCGCCTAAGTTTTATCGAAGGCCCATAATGCAAAAATCAAACGGCATTCTACAATTAAATTAAAAAAGGGTTATTAAATAAAATATGGTATTGTATAATACCTTGAAAATGTGCTGAGTAGACGAAAGAAATATTTATATATTACAAGCTGGGTTTAGGCTAATATGAATTCATCAATTGAAATAGAATGATAATACATAATATGTTCTTCGAAATTTATGATTTTAAAACTCATTTTATTCCTTTATGCAGTAGATCTCAAAAGTGTTCACACACTTGCTATTTTCTATAAAATGTATTGTTTTCGATTAATAAAAATTACTATATCGGAATTATAAATTTTATATTTGTAGCTTCTTTTTTGAAGAACTTAATCAATTTTTAAGACATAGTATAACTTTTATTTTGAAAAATTAAAACTTAACAAACTATTAAAAAGTTACGCTCCAAAAGTCTACTCTCACTTTAAAAAATTTCAACATAGTTTAAACAATTGTATTTTTGAACTTATATTTCTTATGGGGCGTTAGAAGAATAGGATGAGAGGGTGAATTCTTACTATGCGCGCACACACCATCACGGATGCGAAAATGCTTTGTCTAGAAATATACGGAACGGGACAGATCATTGCCAACATCGAAATTCTCAGGAAAATATTTCTCTTCACTTCCCTAAAGAAGCGGACTCCCGGGTTTGAACCGGAGACTTCTCAATCTTTCGAATACTTTACCAATGAGCTATACCCCCACGTTAGAGAACATTTGATTTGCGTTCTTTAGGAACGGATACGAAAATGCTTTGTCTAGATATATACAGAAAGGGACAAATCACATTCCCACCTTCGAAATTCTCAAAAGTAATATTTATCTTGACTTCCCTGAAGAAGAGGACACCCGGGATTGAACCGGGGACCTCTCGATCTGCTTTCGAATGCTCTACCACTGAGTAATTAACCTTTTCTTTGTATTCCGTAGGAACGGATACGAAAATGCTTTATTAGAAATCTTTAGAACGGGACAGATCATTCCCGCCTTCAAATTTCTCAAAAAAATATTTCTCTCTTCACTTCCCTGAAGAAAGGCGCGCCCAGGTTTGAACCGAGACCTCCCGATCTGCTTTCGAATGCTCTGCCAATGAGTTATAACCCCACGTCAGCTAACCTTTGCTTTGCATTCCGTAGAAACGGAAACAAAAATGCTTTGTCTAGAAATATACAGAACGGGACAGATCTTTCCCTCCTTCGAAATTCTCAAAAAAATAATTCGTTTCATTTGCCTGAAGAAGAGGACACCCGTGTTTGAACCGGGGACCTCTAGATTAGCAGTCGAATGCTTTGCCACTGCACTATACTTCCCGTATCAGCGAAGAATAGCTTTCAGTTCCGTAGAAAAGGATACGAAAATACTTTGCTTAGAAATATACAGAACGAAACACACAGATTATTTCCGCCTTCGAAATTTTGAAAAAAAAATACTTCTCTTCACTTCTCTAAAGAAGGGGGCACCCGGGTTTCAACCGGGGACCTCTCGGTCAGCATTCGAGCTTCGTACCACTGAGCTGATCTTTTAATAAATGAATCAATTTATTCGCTTTATGAAAATCATGAAAACTTTTATATTATTTTAAAAAATTTTCTATATAATTTTTTCCCCATTTATTGAAACTTTTTAAACATATTCTGACGTAAGCAAACTACGTATTTTGTTAGAATCAATTTTCAGAATTGTAATATTTTTTAAATCATTGTTTGGCGCATTTTAGCCTAATCTGGCTCTTGTGCCATAAAATCAAACAATAAATCAACTGGACCGGTTCGAATGGATTACTTTTTGGATTCCTCACAACCAGGTTGAGTTCCGAGTTGCTGGATGCCCTGCTTCTATTTTATTTAGTTCTTTTAAATGTTTTAATAACTTTAAAATGACCATAACTCGGGGCTCTTCAGACGGATGTCTTAATTTTCTTAGGAATGATTCTTCCCGCCGAGACATTTAATATGAGATCTCAAGTGTCACATTCGGTTCAGCTAAACTCCAAATACAGTCTACCCCCCTACGTTGTTGGTCATATTGTCCCTATGCGGGGGTGTTTAAATTTATTTAAATCGTGATTTTCTCTGGTCTGGCTGGTCCGATCGACTGAAGTTTAGTATCATTCAACTCTGCTCGTAACTGCATTTCGTCCTTGGCCCAGCTTGCCCGGCTCAAGATTTAGAGAAATAATTTAATCTTGTTACGCCAAAAAAGTATAACTTCATACGTGCGTACATAAGTACACATATTTTTGTTAATTTAGTGGGACCTTTTTGAATGTCCTCAACAACTTTTTAACGTTTATATTTCATCAATTTTTTGTACTCCCTCTATCGATATTCCTCCATTCTTCTGTGATTATTGTCTTTAGCTTACGTTTAGTTTTTATATACGTCATGTCTTCTTACAATAACTTCAAATTCACACCCAATATATTAAACTGTGGCTTAAATCATGTAACACTGGAGGGGTTTTCTAAAATTTGGGGACAGTTATAGAGATACCAGCAATATACGTTGTGTATATTGAGCCTGGGGGTCATTATTTTATTGAAAAATGAATTCGTTTCCAATACCCAAATTTTGGGTGGATAATTTCATATTGTTCCTTGAAATATTTAAATAAAGCTCATGATTCACAATAACCTTAAGGGAACCAGGACATGCTCGAAAGAGTAAAATGCCAAAATTAAGACCTTTTGTTTATGAGACATATATCATTTAAAATTTCCAATAGAGCTTAGATTTTTTTATGTCTATAATAAAGATAATATAATTATTCTGTAGAACTACAAAAATAACTTTTTACTCCAAAAGCTTTTTTTTTACTACTTAATTTAAGTAATACATAATTTTTGAGAACTCGTAATATATACTTATGTTTAGGTACCATTTTTTAAAAACGTATCCTTTTTTATGCAAAATATTTTTTACACATATATAAAACAATACATAAAATACAGTGAAACCCTTTTTTTAGTAAAATTTTAGTATAGTTTCTTTAAAAAAATTATGAAACTTTGAAATTTGAATTTTTTTTATTTTTCTGCTTTTTTTATGCATAAAACAAATTTTAAAAAATTAGGCACTATTTTAATAGAAAAAAAATAGGTCCACTATATGCATAGGCATCTTGTATAGAAGTATAAAAAATCAGGAATCATATAGTGCAATAGTTTTTTTTTAAAATGTACCTAAATGCAAAAAAATATGCTTTTAAGAAAAAGTGAAAAAACTAAAAAAAACAATATTTTCACATATTATACACTTAATTAGTATTTCCTTGCCTATTTTTATATGACTAATAATAATCCTTAACCATTTTCTAGAGTTACAAAAGTAATTTTAAATTCATATGTTTTTTTTCCCTTTGTTTTAGTTAACATGAACATAATTTTCGAGATCTTGTAATACAAATTTTCATGTATAGGTACCATTTCTTACAAAAATATTCTTTGAATATACAAAAAAATTTACAAATATATATAAAGTAACATATTAAACATAATGAATTTGTTTTTTAACTAATTTTTATATATATATAATTGCATAATTTCTTAAAAATAATCATAAAACCTTAAAGTTATGAAAATCTTAATTTTCTTTTTTTTACATATAAAATCAATTTTCAAAAAAAACTAGACACATACTAAAAGATATTTTGTTCACTGTATGCACATGTATCCTGTTTAGATATATAAAAGGTTTCAAACAATATATGCTACAATAGTTTTTTAAAGTGTACCTAAATTTAAAAATATTAAACATTCGAGAAAAAAATATAATAAAACTTAACAAAAAAATTTATCCTTACATTATAGATTTGATTAATATTTCCCTACTTGGTATTCATTTTCTTCATCTAAATTCTGTTTATCCATTTTCCTTTTTAAAGACCTTCTTTTATTTCTGGCTTCCAATGACACTTTATTTACTATACGTCCAGCCTAAAAAATTCGTTTGTTATCAATTATAAGTAAGCCACGTTCCGTGTTGTATCCTGGTTTAATGCCCAGAGCTTCAAAGTCTTCCATCCTACTTACATATCCATTGTTAAAACAAATTACAGCATCCATAACTCCAAATTTCAAAGTTTCAATGCCAACAAAAACTGTTTTAGGAATTCGCTCCCAAATACATTTGTTAAAACTTTCATTGGGATTTTGTGTTCTTCCATGAAGGCACTTTTTCAATAAGTCCTTCTCTGTGAGATCCCGAAACACTTTTTTCACTTTCAATAAAATTGACTCAGGTAAAGAATGCTTGTGAATATAACATTCCCCCGTAACAATGCTACGGTTATAACCGCACCAGCTATCCTCACCCAGAGCACATAAAGCGTGTTGAGGATTATCCTCAGTACTTAGTTTATGAAAATAAATAGCCCATATGGCTCTTTTCATGTCCTCCACAGATGACAATTTTTTACGGATTGCTAGCCCATAATAATGTTGGATTGAGTCCACTTCTTTAAGCGTTAGCCGTCCACGTCCCGAAATATTTTTCCCATCTGATAGCTTAATGCCTTTGCTCATTTTTAGAATGTTTCTCAGCCTTGTGCCCATACGCTTTTGCACATGGCCAACACATTCTAATTTTTCAACTTCTGTGTCGCCATATACTTTTGTTTCTTTTATAGTAAGAAATCCTTTTGAGTCCCCATCACCAAGATACTGCGTATAACATGCTTTTTTCGTGATGTTTCAGATCGCTGAAATATACTTAATACCCCCCGACATTCCATTCCCCCACTGAATCCTTCGTAATTTTTAGCACAATTTTCACATGGGTTTTTTTACCCTTACATGAAGAACAATATTTTGTGAGAGCTTCAAAGTCGATAACCTTTCCGTTCTCAACAGAGACGTAGCACATACAACTCCATTCAATGAAGAATAGCCTCTTTTATGCCATGTGCCATCCACAACCACAGCTATATTTGAATTATTATCATTCCCTATGACTGCTTTGTGAACAGCTGCATTCATGGAGTCTTCACTAATTGTTTTTAAAACATTTAAAAGCAAAGAATTATGGCGTTCAAACTTTGCAGGTGGTGGAGGCAAATTCATGAGCCCACAGAATATTCGAGCAGCAGCTCCACCTTTTCCAATAGCTCTCATTCCATATGTCAAACTTAGGTTAACATCATAACATTTATTTGATATTTTTGATGACATTGTGCTCGTCGATTCTCCACAGTTGTGACAAATTATTTCCAAACTCACAGCTAAACCTCTACGACTTTTTAAATCTTCTCTCAGCTCAATTTTCTCTGAAGAACAGCAATATTTACATCATAAGAGATTTTTCATAAGGGAAGATAATAAATCCAGTTCAACGATTATGTTTACATTTTGAGAATCTTGTTCTTTTAGTGAATCCGGTATTTTAATTTTTCTCTTAGAAGCACTTTCCACGGAATTCAAAAACAATTCTTCAGTCGATATAGACTTTTGTGTTGATTGCTACATACTTCCTTCTTTTAATTTTTTTTATTCTTGGCATAATTACTCGTTTAAAAAAAAGGTAAGATACTTCTAAAATCTTATGAATATTAATAATTATAAGTAAAAAATAAATATTTCTTACGAAAATTAATGTAAAATTAAGTAGTTGTATGCCACAAGAAACTTCGGAATAGACGAACTCGGTTCAAAACATTGCCATAAACCGAAATTTAAAGTAAGAAATTTTGTCACACAGCTTGGAACAATAGCTCACGCACAAGCGTGGCTAAAAAGTAGCGGGGTTAACATTCAAACGAAAAAAACAATTAAAGTTAATATAGATAAAACACAGGGGAAACTACATATTTAAAGTTCAAAGGGGCGTGTCAAAAGGGGCGTGGTCATTTATTTACATTTTTATTTTTCATATTTTAGGGCTATTTTATCAACAAACATATAAGTATTATACATTTTTAGAT